AAAAAAAAAAAAAAAAAAAATTTACTAAATGAAAGCATTGGGGCCTCAGTCTTGAAAGCTGGCTTTGTCTGGGTGTGGTGGCTCACACCTGTAATTCTGGCACTTTGGGAGGCCGAGGTGGGCTAATCACCTAAGGTCGGGAGTTTAAGAGCAGCCTGACCAACATGGTGAAACCCCGTCTCTAATAAAAATACAAAAATTAGCCGGGGGTGGTGGCGTGTGCCTGTAATCCCAGCTACTCAGGAGGCTGAGGCAGTAGAATCCCTTGAACCAGGGAGGTGGAGGTTGCAGTGAACTGAGATCATGCCACTGCCCTGGCAGCAGAGTGAGACTCCATCTCAAAACAAAAACAAAAACAAAAAATAACAACAAAAGAAAGCTGGCTTTGGCTGGGTGCGGTGGCTCACACCTGTAATCCCAGCACTTTGGGAGGCCGAGGTGTGAAGATCACGAGGTCAGGTGATTGAGACCACCCTGCCTAACATGGTGAAACCCGTCTCTACTAAAAATACAAAAAATTAGCTGGGCATGGTGGCACATGCCTGTAGTCCCTGCTATTCAGGAGGCTGAGGCAGAAGAATCACTTGAACACGAGAGGCAGAGGTTGCAGTGAGCCAAGATTGCACCACTGTACTCCAGCCTGGATGACAAAGCAGGATTCCATCTCAAAAAAAAAAAAAAAAAAAGCTGAGCTGGTTTAGGAGCTTGTGGGCCCCTAAACCAGACAGGGATAGTTTTTGCCATCATGTAATTAAGATTTTTAAAATCTTTAATAAGGGTTATTTATTTCTTGAGATGGAGTCTTGCTCTGTTGCCCAGGCTGGAGTGCAGTGGCGTGATCTCGGCTTACTACAACCTCTGCCTCCCGGGTTCAAGTGATTCTCCTGCCTCAGCCTCCCAAGTAGCTGGGATTACAGGACCCCATCACCACACTAGCTAATTTTTGTATTTCTAGCAGAGATGAGGTTTCACCATGTTGGCCAGGCTGGTCTTGAACTCCTGACCTTAAGTGATCTGCGCACCTTGGCCTCCCAAAGTGCTGGGATTACAGGCATGAGCCACTGCACCAGGCCTAATAAGGGTTTTAAAGATAATTGGTGTGTAGGTCTAGGGCTTATGACGGTAACCACAAGTTGTTAATGGCATTATGAAAAGTTTGTAGTTGACCTTTACAACTGGATGTTGAATTACATTTTGATTTGATATTTACAAAAAAGTATTTCTTTGGCTTAAAAAAATTATTTAAAAGTTGGTGATCATATTGTCTATCATGTAGCCAGCTTTCAGTTATACACAATAGGAACTTTTTCACATTTACAAATAATACTTGAGATAGATATCTGAAGGTACCAGCACATGAAAGGTGTTCAGAAGTAACAAATTGTAAAATGAGCTAACAAACAAATGAAAGACAACAAAAAATAAAACAAGAGCCATAAAGCAAGCAGATGGGAGGCATGTTCAGTAACTGGCTAATAATGCATCTGAAATGATTGCTGTACTTAAATATTGTTAGAGTCATAGGATTTTGAATAAAAACCTTAATCGATTGTCTTTAGGTGAGGAGTGGTACTGAAACATACTTGAATTCCTATTGCTTTCCTAAAAGCTCTGCTTTAAAGACTTAAAAAAAAAAATCTATAGGATTTACCTTCATCTGTTTCAATCCTACAATCCCACAGCTTTTCTGTCTTCAGAATGCCACAACTTAGTGGTCCAGCCAACAGCTTAAAGCCAATTTATCAAAATAGCATCTTTCCTAATTCCAACATTTTACTTTAGTTTTGTTTTGAGATGGGGTCTTGCTCTGTTGCCCAGGCTGGAGTGCAGTGCTGCAAACATGACTCACTACAGCCTCAACCTCCTGGGCTGAAGCAGTCCTCCCACCTCAGCCTCCCAAGAGGCTGGGGACCACAGGTGCAAGCCACCACGCCTAGCTCTTCTTTTTCCTGTGATAGAGTCTTGCTCTGTCACCCAGGCTGGAGTGCAGTGGCATGATCTCAGCTTACTGCAACCTCCACCTCCCAGTTTTAAGCAATTCTCCTGCCTCAGCCTCCTGAGTAGCTGGAATTATAGGTGCCCACCACCACACCTGGCTAACTTTTTTTGTATTTTCAGTAGAGTTGGGGTTTTACCATGTTGGCCAGACTTGTCTCAAACTCCTGACCTCATGATCTACCTGCCTAGGACTCCCAAAGTGCTGGGATTATAGGCATGAACCACTGCGCCCGGCCTAATTTTTGTATTTTTTGTAGAGACAGTTTCATCATGTTGCCCAGGCTGGTCTCAAACTCCTGGGGTCAAGTGATCTGCCCATCTTAGCTTCCCAAAGTGCTGAGATTACAGGCGTGAGCCACCACACCAGTCCAAAATTTCACCTTTTAAATTTATTTCATTACCATTATGTTCTAGGTAAATTTCATTTATTTCTCTGGGTTAAATTGTAGTGCTTTTTCATGTGTGTATTTTTGGTTCACACCTTCCCAGCCCACTGTCATGTATTAAGTAGGCCTTCCTCCAATCCCAGATCACAGTAATATTTCCCTAAATGGATTTTACTACATTTGGTCCCCCCATTTTTGGTTCAGTTATAGTTTACAGATATCATGTTGCATCCTTGATTTAAATATTGGGGAAAAACTTGCTTTTTGGATTTTATCTCTGATGTTCTACTGGATTATTTTAGGCTTTTAGAACACTATGAAATGGGTGCTTGCTTTTCACTTCCCAAATCATTTTGCATCAACAAAGTTCATAAGCTTATTGTGGGAAGTTCAAAGTCACATATCTGGTACTTACTTGCCTAGTGACCCTAGAGACATTAAATATACAGAATTTAGGATGGTGTCTGGCAGGTAGCAAGCACTTTTAATGAATGGCAGTTTAATATTCTGTTTGCATCCATTCTTGACCATAATCACCCCAAATCCAGCTTAGGTAGCCTTGATGTAACCTCTACCCTCATCCCCAATTTTTTTTTTTTTTTTTTTTTCTGAGACTGGGTCTCATTCTGTCACCCAGGCTATAGTACAGTGGCACAAACATGGCTCACTGCAGCCTGAGTAGCTGTGAACACAGGCCTGTTGCCACCATACCCGGCTAATACATGTGTGTGTGTGTATGTATGTATGTATGTATGTATTATGTGTTTTTAGAGACAGGGTCTTGCTATGTTGCTCAGGCTGGCCTTGAACTTCTGGGTTCAAGCAATCCTCCTACCTTGGCCTCCCAAAATGCTGGGATTACAGGTGTGAGCCACTGCATCTGGTGAATTAAGCCTTTTTTATGCACTCTCAAGTCTGAGGTATTCTGTTCATACCAATGTGTTCCTTTGTATCTTCTTCCCATAGCAGGTTGTAACATCATTTTGTATCTCCTTCTTTCAACTGTCAAATAAATGCATTGTGTATACAGTAGGCATTTAGTAAGGGATGTTGATTGGCAATGAAATCAACTATGAAGTTTTTGTTGATTTAGAAGATGAAAAGACAGTTTTAAAATACCATCCTGGGCCAGGCTCGGTGACTCATGCCTGTA